GATTTAATAAGGATTTAACATTCAATCCCTCAAAAGTTTAATTCTTAATTCTATACATAGGCCTGAAATTTTACATGCAAATATAGATCAATTCTTAGTTCTATACACAAATACATCAGTTGATTTGTAAATGCATACATAAAATATGATTAAGAGAATTAATTGAATGACAAGGCAATTGAAAATGTAAGAGACAAGGAAATGGAAGATTAAGCCAATGAAAAAATAGTCAGATAGTGACAATAGATGTTTAAAAAATCTTCTAAAGAAAGAATTTATAGGAAAAGATACAAATTCAAAGAAGCCTGCTCCTCAAAAACGGCTCCTGGGTTATAAGAAGCTCAACTCTGAAGAAGATTAATAAAAGAAGAATTACAACAACTGATGCTTGAACTTAAGATCTTGATAAGCTTATACTACGAGCCTACAACCAATGGAGCCTTAATTGGTTCATATATAAATCCATTCACTTGCACTATATGTGAGGATAGAAATTTTTTGTGAATGCTAAAAAAATTTAGAGATTAAAACTATTGACACAGTACAAATGAAAGAACCGTGTCTTTAATTGAAGGTCCGCTAACAACCCCTTCTAGCCATGGAAACGATCCATGTGCCAGGAAAGGATTAATCTATAAGCTTTTAGCTACAATAACGGCCAAGTATGACATACCTGGGTTAGAATACCACTCCGCAGTAGGTCATTTTTTCAAAAGTGGATTTAGTAGGTTTGGCATTGGGCAGCTATTTCTCTATCTCCTTGTTTTTGGCAAGATAGACTGATTATACTGCGAGGGTCCTTGTCTTCTAAACATTCTTTTCTCCACAGGTAAAACCTTATATTGGAGACCAAAGTGTTCTTCTAATTTTTGTTGTGGGAGGTATTAATTGTCTTGAGGTCTGTTTTCCATTTGTTTCCTAGCATTTGATATCACCTAAATAAATTTAGTTTGAGTAGTTTACTTCAATGCTTGCGCTATGTTTTAGGGTGCGTTTGGGACGGCGGTACTGCTGCTTTACTTTATATAAAGTTATTAAATCATTGTTTGGGACATTGCGGTAGAACCACAGCAGAAAAAATTCGCGGCACCTAGTTGCTTCCCGCGACCATTCGCTATCTCCCACGGTCCGCTGCTTTCGACAAAAAAATGAGCCTGCTGCAAATATTCGCTACCGTCATCTGAAGCCTTCAACACCGCTTCCGACTACCACCGTCATCCTCCTCATGCTCATTCCTGAACGAAAAAAAAAAAAGAGAAACTGCAGCCGCCTGAATTTGCACTTGTGATTACGATCGTGCTTCTATTTGGACAGAAACGGCATGCTCTAGAGCCGGATCGAGTGAAAGATAGGGCGAGCATAGAGGAAGAGACGAGCGGGAGGAGCAGAGTAGGTAGGCGAGCGTCTCAGTGTCCTGAAATCAGGAATCCTATTATCCTTCATAGGATCCTTAAACAGATCAAAGCCGGCATCAAAATCCCCTTTTTCACACAAGAATTTCAGCGGAGCAGAGGCGGCAAACGTCCTCGAAGGTGGAGATAGCATGGTCGAGCATGCGGGCGGGTCAATAAGCAAGAATGACGGTTCCACGAAGGACTTTTGAGCAGCAGCGGGGTCGGACTTGCGGGATTCAAGAAGAGATTAGACATCTTCGAATCGGCGGGCCGTGGCGAGGCGGCAGACTGTAAGCTCGACGGCGAAGCGGCTAGAGGTGGGAGAAGAAGAGGGGTACGGCACGGAGGACATGATTGAGAGAGCTTTGTCGGGGTCATACTCCTTGAGGAGGGACTTGGCGGCAGAGGCTAAGGAAGTGGCGTCAGCATCGGAGGCGTTCACGACAGCGGCGGATTTGGCGACGCTGTTCGAAAGGCGGGTGAGCGGGTGAGTACGAAGCGGGGAAGGAGCGAATGGCGGCGGCTGGTAGCAGAGAGCATCGCCATTTTTTGTAGTGGAGAAACGGTAACTGAGAGGTAGGCGAGCGTCTCAATTAACATTTCTTACTTGTGCAATACATGATTCGGTTGTTTATCAAAATGGATGATTTCAGTGAAGATTATAAGCTTATTGTTTCTCGTGCTCGTAAGATTTTAACTTTTACATCATTTTTTTTTTCAATCTCAATATATATAATAAGGATATAAAAGTAATTTATTCCTATACATGTGCAGCACAACAACTTGACAGTTATATTCCCAAACAAAATGTATTGCTTATTGTACATCAATTTTTGAAAGCAGCTTTATATACAATAATTTTGTAACCTACTTTATCGACAGCTGCAGCAGTCCCAAACGCACCCTTAATGTATATTAAGGCATCCCCATATTGTGATCGCATACTATTCCCTTTGAGATAGAGTCCATTAAAAATTGATTTATTAATGAATCTTTTGACCTGTTATAAATTTTATAAACTAACTTTCAATCTTACCAAGTTGCCTTCCTTGTCCCATTGCAATAAAATTGAACGAATAGAATGTTGTATATTATTAGGCTTTTCAAATCCCTTGGATATGCATATTCTTTGAGTGCTTTTAGAGCATTACCAAATGAGATCTTTTACGGTTGTTTATGCTTTCTTTTGAAGGAAGATTAACTGAAATTACTCAGAAAATTCTTAGAGGCAAGAACAACAAAAGAAATTCCCTAAAGACTTATCTTCTTCACCAAATAAACAAATACTTTAGGCAACTCCTACTCAAGCAAATTTCTCGTACATTTTTAGCAAAGACTTTCAACGAAGAAAGAAGGAAATAGTGTAAAAAAACAGAGAAGAAGGGAAGAAAGGGGAAAATAGAGAAAAATCAGGGAAAAAGAATGAAGAAAAAAATAAAGAAGAAGAAGAAGAAAAAATAGAGAGGAAGATGAGGAAGCTGAGCAAGAAGAAAAAATTGGTAGATGTTACCTGTGCGTGAGAGAGGGTCGGCTGCAGGGAGGGCTTTGGGTCACGCGAGAGAGGAGGCAGGGGGCTTCGTTCTATCTGGGTCATGCGAACGAGAGGGCCGGCGGCAAGGAGAGCTCCGGATCGCGCGAGAGAGGGGGAGGCGGAGGGCTTCGTTCCATCTGGGGCATGCGAAAGAGAGGGAGAAGGCACGAGAAACTGAGAGTTGCGGGAGAGATTTCATTAGAGGATAAGAAAGGAGCGAGCAAACTATCGAAGTCGAACAACAACCAAGAAATGAAAAGAAAGAAAAGTAAACAACAATCCAGTAGGAGAAGAAGCTACTATTTTTAGGAGATAAACCTTTTAAGGTGAATTGATGTCGTTCCCTTCTCTTGCCAGCCGCCCGAAAGATTCCTTGGCATCGACTTCGGCTACTGTTGAACTCGATTAGAGAATAAGTGGTGCATGTTGAATCCAAAAGCCGGCGAGACATAAATCTCTTCCAGGGACAAAATAGCAATGAAGAAGAAGATGTGAGAGTAGGAGGCCATGGGAGAAAGGAAACATAGAGATTGGCAAATTAAAACCCTACAAAAAGTGGAAGTAAAAATTTAGGGGTTGAATGAGTTTTACGATTTTTATCTGGGGTGAACTCCTGGATTGCTGTGTTCAACGAGGGGGGGAAGCATGGGAGACAGGTGGCTTCAGCGAGCGAAACCAATTCGGGAAGAAGGTTAAGACGGCAAATGCGAAGGAGGAGCAAAAGCATAAGTCGGAAAAAATGGAAGAAATTGAAAAGAGGCGTTAATAAGTTACTTTTTCAAATGGGGATATTTGCTGGGTTCGACGAGCAAGGCAGTCGCAGGCACCGATGATGGGAAGAACAGAACAGCGTGACATTTGATCGTGAGTATATGAAATTGTATATAACAACGTAAGAATATAATGTGCCATTTTGTGTAGGAATGCATTGATAGGAAGAAGAAATAACGAAAGGAAGCATCGGGAAATTTGGTTGCGCGCAGATGGAATGATAGATAAACATGGAAGATCGGATTATACAAAGAAGTTTCTGAATAGTAAAACAAATTAACAATGGATATTGATTTAAAGTTTTAGAACGAACGATCGGGATGATATATAGGGATATTCACAAGAGACACTTATAATAGTGTGTGTGTGTATATATATATATATATATAGTTTTATTCATTATACTTTTACCAAATAATTTCTTCCTTAAAACTCCTACTTAAACGATAATGATAAATCCTAATACTAAATAAGAAAATTTGGGGGTTGATATCAAGTCAATAATCAATAGTAAATTTATGTCTAAACTGATGAATGAGATCGATCTCAAGCATAAGTTTGAAATATGACTAGTTGGGTATAATAGAAAACAAACATAACCAAGATACAAAGAATATTTCAAAAAATTTCAAGTGCATACAGTTTATAGAATTACTTGAACAATAATATACAAGAAAGTTATTATCACATGATATGGGTAAGTAGCCATTTTAAATATTTCTATTATGTAATAAATTACTCCATAACATCAAGAACATGAACAAAGGAACATGACCAAGAAAGAGTGTTATCACTTCATAACAATATAAAAATTATTTTGAAACAGGAAACCAAAGAGGCATGCTACGAGCAACAGTTTGATTGCCTCTATAATGAGCTAGAAGTAATATGTTTAAGCCACATAAATAGTCTCTCTATAATGCAGGGGTAAAGTTATGTAGATCAAACCCCTTCCAAAACCCTGCAATGGTGAGAACTTCATGCATGATGTTATGCCTTGAAGATAGCAACATCCATAAGGTAATGCCACAGCCACAAGTGATGTAAAATGGCATTTATGCTGATCGGTAAAGCTGCACTGTTTCTACAAAAGTTTATTTCTATATGTTTGATCAATTTGGAATATTTCCCACTTCAAATGGATAGTCAAAGTGACTTTTATTTGAGAAAAGATAAAGCTCCAACTTTAAATTAGCATGTAGTTGACACTATTTTCATCATAAAGATAATGACAAATGATTTTGCATAAGAAAGCTGCATGGGAGTTATAATAAAAAAAAAACATAAAAAAATAATAGCCTCACCTAATATAGAACAAATGTTTTCGATTGCTTCTGCTGATACAGGACCATTTGCAGAGAGAGATCCTTTACATGCTTTGTATAATCTCCGTATAGCAGGCATACTGTGCACAGGTACAAATAATCCAATACAGAAGAACTCACAAAATGATAGCCAGCAAGATCAAATAGAAATGTCTGGCTCCTCAACTTTAAAATAGTCAACCAAAAGAGCAAATTTTAGCTCTTCCTTTCATAAACAGAACCTTCCTTGCAGAATTCCTTTTCTTCGCTGAATTGACAGAAGGGCTTGCATAAATTTGTATTTCATCATATGTGTGAAAACAAAATGTCATTATTATAGCAACTATAAGAGAAAAGATCAAAAAAAGTTCCCCCGACTAGTTGTGAAGAGTCATTTTAGCCCTGGACTTTGTAAAAGGGTTGATTCGGTCCCCAAACTCTTTAAACTGGGACAAAAATAGTCCTACCATCTAAATGTCCTATTAGATGTCATGACAATGTGCCCGAAAGTAACGGTTGAGGCATGAATATAGGGTATTTTGAGTCTTTCAGCTTTATTGTTGATTAATTTTTATTTACTATTATCATCTTTTGAAAACTTATCCTAGCTAACAGGGCCCTCACACCTGATCTCGCATAGCCAAAGATGACTAGAGAGGCAAGATGCGAGATGGGACAGGAACGATTGCTGGAAAATAATTAATAGCATTAGTTGATATTTTTAGAATATGAAATTTAGAAATTTACAAAATTAAAATAATTAAGTATTTAATAGTACAAAATTTTAAAATTTTTACTAAATAAAATAATTAAAAATAATAACTATTTAAATCATATAAATTTAATAATTCCTAATATATTAACATCCTAAATACTTAAGAACTTGATTACTTGTAATTGATTTAAGGATTAATGTGAATAAACTATTTAGATTAATTCTGAATTATCTAATAAGTAAGCAAGTAGAATATTATGAAATATTATGAAATCTTTAATGAATGTTAAGTTGACCTTAGTGTTTCAGCTTTATTGTTGATTAATTTTTATTTACTATTATCATATTTTGAAAACTTATCCTAGCTAATGAGGCCCTCACACGTGATCTCATATAACCAAAGCCGATTGGAGATGCGAGATGGGACAGGAACGACTGTGGGAGATTTCATGACGTGAGGAGGTCCGCCTACGAAGTTACAAACGACATTTTGAAGGGAAGTTGCGTCTTACCCTCACCTTACCTATCAATATTGAATGCCAACAAACGATCGAGGGGCTTACAAGAGTAGCTCCCGAGCATTCGATGAAGAGGAGAGGAAGCAGACAACCTCAATCTTCTTCATGCGATGACTAGAAAAAAACTCATTAAAAAACCTATTCTCTAATATTCATGAAAAGATTGAAGATTATCATGAGAGATTATAACTACGATGGTAATGAACCAAGTTCATGCAAATTACCATCAACTTATAATACAAAATTTTGATTTCGAGTCAACTTAAAATTAAAATTGAGTTTAACTAAAGATGATTGCTTTCTACTAAATTTTTCGAGTTGATTCTAGCAATATTTCTTTATTTAAGAAATTAATAAATTCTTAAATTATATATATATATAACATAAATATGTATTGACATATGACATGAATATATTTATACATTGTATGTTTATTGTATATATTTGAATACATATATATGAGTTAAGATACATGTAAGTGCAATTTCAATGAATTAAATTAAATTTGATCTAGCTAATCTAAGTTTAAGCAAATCAATTTTGATTTTATATTGTTCATGTTTGCTTCATGCTTGTTAGCATTTGACATTTTTTATTTACATTTGATTTGTTATTATTTAACTTGTTTGAAAAAATAGACATAAATAATTATATCAACTAAAACAGCAAGTTTAATTATTTTAAATAAAAATACTAAGCATAAGACCTCATCATATAAGAATATTTTTTAACCCCACATGCAAACACTGTGAAAAGATTTGAAAATTTACTTCGTGAAGATAGCTAGTGTATATGAGAAAATAAGGTAAGTAGGAAATTAAATCTACTTAAAATTTTCAGGAAGAAAAAATATATAACCAAAATACCATTTTTTTAAGACCATTAACGTCAAGTTTCATTAGTTTAGATACAAGACTATTTTTGTCCTTGTTTAAAGAGTCCCGAGACCAATTTGCACATTTATATAATCTGTGACTAAAATGACTTGAGAGAATAGTTGGGGAGACCATTTTGGTTCTTTTCTCACAGCTATAATATTTCAAAAACATGTCCTAAACTAGAAGCACTGCATGCATTTCTTTTAGTTCATTGCTGCGGCTATTTTACGGCACCAGGAAAGGTTATGAACTCAACAGGTTGATTGGACAGCCAAAACAGATTAAACAAAAAATTTGTAAGGAAAATCCTATCATCTTCAGCAATTATGGATATCAAAGTATTTGTGAAACTCAGATGGATTCTATGTGTTTCTGATTGTTCCTATGCTATTAGAATAATCGGAGGTTTTCCACATATCTACTAAGGATTGTCATCTTAAATGACCTGAATAAGTGAATTTTACTCAGTATGAACCTATGAGAGCACTTATTCATATGGCGAAGCAAGACATAACTAAAAAGACAAAAAATTTCCTCTTTTAGACATATCCAGGCAAGATCCTAGGCATAAGTTCCTTTAAGAAGAGAGAAACCAACAAACTTAATAGATATTTCACCTGCATAAATTGAAAATTAACGTCACATTGATTTCCAAAATAAAAATAATAGCAAGTCCAAGGATGCATTTAAAGGGAAAGCACATCAACCTGACTACTTGGAGCAAAAACAGATGACAAAGGCATGCACAATGCACGAATAATGGATAAATGGCAAGCTAAGAATAATATTATGAACAAAAATAGTAAAAAAGCACAAGAAGGTCTCTTCAATGCAGGTCTAGAAAGGGCTTGTGCATGCAATCTTGGCCTTGCAGTGCTAAGAAGTTAATTCAGTGAACAACAATGACACATTAGATAAACAAAGCTTTGCCAATGTCTATCTAGTATTCACATAACAATATTATTTAACTAAAACTTGATAACTAGTAACTTAAGATACACTAATAAATGGGGGTGGACAAAATAATTTCTAAACGAAAAAATTGAAGCAAACTAAAGAAATGATCAGATTATGAGTTTGATTAGCAATTTTCATAATTGTATTGGTTTGATTTGATTTAGGCTTGATACTTCATGGGAAATCAAACAAACTGAACCCAACAAAAAAATGAAATGCATATTGTATCTCAACTCATTGGACCAAGAAAACAAGTATTGGTCCTAAATTTATAACTAGTAAAATCAATTTTCTATTTTAGGTATTTAAACTGAACTAAACTGAAAACCAAATTAAACCAATCAAAATCATATTTTTTATTCAAAATCAGAACTTAACCAAACTAAACGGTTTGGTTCGAGCACTTTGGGTAAGTTTTGGTTTCCATCCTCAAAAGTCAGTTCAATTTGGCTCCAAACCCGTGCTAGATTAGCGACCAAAATGGATTGTGCCAACCACTAGTAACAAGGGACCCAGTGAAATGATATTCATACTTGAAATTGGTGCATAAGCTATGCTTTTATCAATTTTTTGGTTATTACATTGCTCAAGCATTCAAGCGAATAGGCTAGTTGTGGTCATTTCTATGTGGTGAGTATGTTGTTGCTTTTCACTATTTTAAAGAGAAAGAAGTTGAGAGAAAAAAACACCATCAATTTACCAGCATTGAGAAAAATCCACCATCAATTTAACGTAATATTTGCCATAAATGGTGTACAACAATCTGGAGCAGTCAGATAAGGATAAACAAATGTTGAGAGGTTACTATTCACGGAGGAACAGTGGGGTTAATGTTATCATCTTACCCCTTTTGCAAACATGTTATTTCCTTGACTAAAAAGTTAATAATTGAGCCAACATAACCATTTTTTAAAGAACTGCCCCCTAATTGAGTGGGAAAAGCACAACCTTAATATTTCCAGAGCCACTTTTAACTAGTGGCACAGATTAAGACCAATTACAAAAAATAGCATTGTTAGAACTAGGCCAAAAAAAGAAACTCAAGGATGATCTTTTAAAACCATATGGATCAAGGAAGAATAGTTTTTTGCAAAAATATGCATGAAATTGAGGATGTAAATTAACATCATAATGTTCACATCAATGTGAATTATCGGATAAAATTATAACCGAAAAGAAGAAGAAGAAGATGAAGAAAAAGTCCAAAATAGTACCTCTCAACTATTTCCATGTAGCCAATTTAGTCTAAGAGTCATATTTCAACAATTTATTATTATTATATTGACAAATGAAATTTAGTTTAAATTACCTTCATTTTCTCCTTAATTACTCCATATCTCTAGTTTTAAAGTAGTCACCCCCAACATGTACAGTCAACTTTTCTTACTTATATGCATTTATATAAGTTTGTCTTTAATTATCACAACTCTCTCCTTACTTAGTCCACCCTCTCTCCCAACTTTAACACCACCAACCCATCCCTTCTTGCCTAATTAATGCTCATCAGATGTACCAAAATGAACATGCAACAATAAACATTTCATTATATCCTTTTTATAATTAAATATCATCTTAAGACTCTCTTAATTATGATTTATCTCAAATATGCCGGCCAGACCGCCCATCCCTACCCTGCATTTTTCCATCCCCCTTCAACCCCCATAATATTTTGTTTCTCTTGAATCTATCCCCTCTCTCTATAGAAATCTTTCTACAACCACATTTCCAATTTGTCCATATTGTTCAAGGCTCATATCCAAAAACTCAACATCAAGTGATTAAGACATGACATAGGACCCCAATGATTATTAGAATAATTTTAAGTTGCTCGAACTCTATAGCTGAAACCAGAGGAATCGGGAAGAGAATGAAGAGATAAAACTAAAACAGGGAATTTCAACTTCGCTGCAGCTTAACAACATTTGTTATTGTTCTTGAATAAAGTGTAACAACATTCAGTCATTTTGGTATTCTTCTTGAATACAGTGTAACAACATTCTTGAAAGCAAATGCCGCAAATCAGTAACTAATTAATGACAGTTTCATAGCTTTAGTACGATCAGTAATAGCATCAGATTCTAGCACATTCCATTCTCTTCTGGCTGTCACCCATTCCTGAAACCGTGCATTTAATAAAATGAAGAAATGCCAATTTACTGAGCTTTTGTAAGTTGGCAAATGCTCAACCACTTTACGCTACTGATAATAAAGATCTTGCGTGACCTCCATTGTGGCCTATAGAAATGATTAGATTGACAACATAATGGTCTAAAATTTGCATACTCTAATTACCAAAACAGCCTCAAACTGCATTGTGTATCCACGTACCCCTGAATTCCAACCCTGACAGATAATAAACCTACCGATTCCATTATGAATTCAGGCAAAAGAGAGCTTATAGCACGACAAGCAGATGATTATAGCAATTTCGGCAATGAAGAACTATGGTAACGAACATCTTAGAAATAAAATAACCTGGAAGCCTCAGTTCAAACAATATCCCACGACCGAAAGACCAAACCACTGAAGGATGGGAACTTGCGACAGAATTACAATTGGAACAAAGGAAATCACTTTTACCAGAAAAGACCAGGCAGCTTAAAAGGATTAACAGATTTGAAGAAGATGATGCGGGGAAACAAAACATACTTGTGGCTCTAGGGTTTCTGCAAGGACGAACGGCGCGCGTATGGGGACATGCAGTGGTTCGAATCGCGGAGCGAATCGGGGCTGGAGCGGTGGAGTTGGATCGCGAATGTGTACTTCAGCCGTCGGATTGTATTCCGATTTATACGTGCTCGGTGATTACCAAGGCACGCCACCACGCCGCCGCCTGCGGGATGCAAAAGATAATGGCATAATTGCGTAAATTTATCTAATATCTTGAGTATTTGGAAATTTCGAACTTAGTAGAAAAAAAAAAATAACCTAAAACATTTTTATATAGAGGTTACAGCATCTTAGTCTATTTATTTACCTAATATTTAAATTTTTGTTATACAATTATAATATTGAAATTATTATTTTTTTACCTAACATTTAAATTTTTGTATTTATTTATACAATTATAATATTTAAATTATTTTTAATATGATTTAAATACCGTGAATTTGTGATATTGTATAAATAATAAATTAATATAAAATTTAGTTGTGTTGCATGAAAAAAAATGTAGTCATCAAATTAGACTATGATTTTTTTTGGATGATTTTTTTACTGTTTTTTCAAGCAGCTTGTTAGTACAACAATTAAATTTTTTTAACTAAAAAACTGTTTTAAGAAGCAATAAGAAAGTTGTCCCAAACGAAGCCAATATTAGTATTGTATGAATATCTAGTACATAAATAAAAAATAGTCATAAGAAACATGAGTTTTAATATGTAGAACTCATAAAAAGGAAAAATAATCATGGGATTTGCCCCATGTGTTTACATAAATTCCTTGAAAATGGCAAGAAAGTAATAGTCAAACAGAAACTATAATTGTTGTCTGAAAAACAAAGCAATAAGAAATATGTCTCAAATATACCCTTAGTTGGCATCTTGAGAGCTTCTTTACATGAAGATATTCATATTCTTTATTCTTTATGTAAAATTACTTAAGATTTCGTTTAAGACGGTTTTTTTAGCCGACCCCACATAGTGGGATAAAGGCTTGATGTTGTTGTTGTTGTTGTTGCATACTAAAACTCTGTTTTAAGAAACAATAAAAAGCTGTCTCAAACAACTCTTACTTTCAAGGAAACATTTGTTTGTTTGATATTGCTTTCACTTTTTGTACCTGATGTTTTGTTTCCACTTTCCATGCATTCTATTTAAATTTCTGAGGCTTGATTTCTTTATATTGAAATGATTCATTTGGACTGTATAAGAAGGTCATCCTTTGAGCAATAATTGATGGAATGGCATTTCTTTTGATCAATTGGTGTTGTCCTTTGATATATCTGGCTGATGTTGCTCACTTCTATTGAATGGATACAAAGTTAATAAGAAAAAAACTTCCTATATTGGATTGTGAAACTACTTTGCTAATGGAATGTAAGTTGATGATAGAAAGTATATCTTGTTCCAAGGCAAAGAAATATCTTTTGCTCTCCCATGCATTGCATAGACACTAGTGAAGGGGTGTTGAAGCTCCCTTTAATGGAGAAATGATCAATCAACTAGAGAGCCCTGAAATCTAGTCATCGCCCTTACATGTAGCCGTGTATCTGTTATGATCGAGAGATTAGAATTCCTAAGATCATGTGATCAGTCGATTTCCTTCGTATGTAAAATGTTAGCGGAAGTTACGTGTAAAGACTTTAGATAAGTTTGGGACAACTTTCGTACTGCTTGTTGTTCAAACTACAGTTATAATTTCTATTTGGATACTGCTTTTTCGGTGCTTTCAAGAATTTTTTGTGCTAAGAATCTACGTTTTACAATAACTTCTAAAAAGTTACTTTCCCCGCAATAACTTTATAACTACGTTTACAAAAAATTAGAGTCATCTCAAACAGACCTTAAGTTACTTTTCTCACAACAACTTCACAATCAATTTAATAAAACATTGCAATGTCTCAAACATATCCTTTAGGAAAATCAACAACGCTTATCCTGAATGCATTATTTTTAACCATTGATCAGATGTGATGCAAGTAACATGAATCCCTTCATTAATTGCTTGTAGGGATGTAAATGAACCGAGCGTTCGACAAGTTATTGAGGTTTGGCTCGATAAAAACTCATTCGTGATCTTTTAATTAAGTAATCAAACTAGCTTGAACATTGCTTGAAATACTCAATACTTCAATAAACAAGCTTGAACAACTATGTATTTGGCTCATTTATGTTCATGAACAACATCTTTTGAAGCTCATGAACATGCTTGATATGAACCTCGGTAAGAAGCTTGTTAGGAGCTTGATAAAAAGCAAGTTAAAAAGCCCGATTCTTGCTTACGAATTTCTTGTCTAGTATTGGATGTCAAACATTTTATGTTAAAGAATTGAACTATTTTTATGCATGGTTATATGATCATGCTTAATTATGGATTTCTTGTCATTTTCTTTTGTAGTGATAAATTAGTTGATAAAAAATATGTTGTGTTTGATTATGTTTAATTATATTTATGGAATTAATTTTTGTGGGGTTATGAATTTTAAATTTATTTGTTTAATATTTTTGCATAACTTTATTTGTGTAATTACTTCTTGAGGATAGGTTTGTCTTTTTTGACATCATCTTTCATTTTCCATAAAAGAATATTGTTTATTATCATCAATTTATTTGTTCAAAATGTTCACGAGCAAGCTTTCTTATAAAAAGAATTATAACTCGTTTGTTTGTGAACGAGCTCGTTTAATAGTTTGAAAACACTTGCTGAATGTGTTCGTGAACATACTTATTTAATAGTTTGAAAACTCTTGCAAGAAATTTTCGCAAACAGTCTCATTTTGGCAGCTCAAAATAATTCATTATATATTTTTGTGAATAGTATTGTTTGGTAATTCGAAAAAATTAATAGAAATGTTTGCAAACATATTTGTTAGTAGGCCAACAAATCTCGATAATGCGTGTTTATTTAAAGCTCGATAATTACAAAATGAATCAAACATGAATTAAACACATACCAAATATGAACATCCATCAACTTAAATGAACCAAGCTTGAACACAAACAATAAAGCTCGAATTGAACTCGAACGAAAATGAACAAGCTAATAATACAAAAGCTAGATAGCTTTCTTACTAATTTGTTTTTCATATCACAAGCACAATTTATGTTTGGCCAGTACTTTTTCACTGCTTTTAGGAAGTTTTTATGCTAGTAAGCTATTTTTTATATCAACTTTCAAAAAAGTTATTTTTTTTCGTAGCAACTTTATAATCACCTTTATAAAAAGTTGTAGCATATCCAAATGGATCGTAAATTAGTCATATCTGAACTATCAGGAGGCTATTTTAAAGTCTATATGCATGTAGCTTTAATTCAGTTGACTCAAATTTATGACTTTTGAATCATAATAAAATCATTGCTTCAAATGCAAGACTTAAATGGGTTGCAACGAAAGCCAATTCGGATGCGCCAGTATATTGGATGATGTGGCACATCCGAATTGACCTCCGGACGGGTCCAGACACCGCACATAATAAGTTTTCCTTTTTTTCATGCAAATATCAACTGTCAGTTTTATTAAATATTTTCAGATCCATAAATGGATGAACCTTCCACATCAAAAAGTACATAAAATTGTGGATTAGTTCAGCAGATTTTGTTAGGGATATATTGCAATACTTAGTGACTATGGGTTCTTTTTTATTGGTAGAGTATTATGTGTTTTTTTTTTTGGTATTTTAAGATGCAAATATATAGTTAAATAATTGTTATATTCTTAAAATATAGGTAATTCAATTATCTTATATTTTTAAAATATATGTATTTTAAAAATATTCAACTAAAAATCTCCAAAATGAGAAATGTGATTAACTAATCACTACTAGAGTTTGATATCAAATTAGGTCTTCACAAACTTAAAAGTGAAATTAAGGCTTTGTTCATGATAGTCTTTTGTCATTATTTTTTGATGCTTTCTCATGAGATTTTTATACTATAAAGTTGTTTTAGAAAGCACAAAACAATAAGAAAACCGTCACAAATGAAGCCCAAAAATGTATCATCTCATAATGCCAAAAAACTTGCCACTCCGTCTGCTCCAAAACTAGGGTATAAGAGCAATCCTCGGGGCAATGAAGGTGTAAAATAGTCGACATGCTACCAATCATATCTAATTTGATATAACTAAATTAAGCATGAAATAAACAACATGAAGAGGAGTGGGTAAGCCCAAGTCAATGTTAAATGAATTAGGGTTGCTTCTTTGTATCAATGCACTCTTATCTTTAGAGATTAAGGCTTCGTTTGAGATAGCTTTTTCATTGCTTTCTAAAACAATTTTTTAGCACAAAAAATTATAATTCAAAATTTTTTTAATTAAAACCCTGTTTTAGAAAGCACTAAGAAAGCCGTCTCAAACAGACTCTAAGGCTTCGTTTGGGACAGCTTTCTTGATGCTTTGCTTTTCTGATAACAACCACAATTTTTATTTGACAATTATTTTTTCATTGCTTTAAAAAAATTATACTAAAAAGTTGATTTCTATAATGACATTAAAATTTTACTTTCTTTGCACCAGCTTTACGAGCAATAAAAAAATTGTCTCAAATAAAACCTAAATCACATATAATTCAAAAAATAATAATAATAATAAAATACATGTACAATAACCCTACTACAAGTTGGCAACAAAAGTTTGAAAAGAAAAGAACAAACCTAAAATATCAATCATTAGAAGAAATGGTGCAATGCTAGGAAAAAGTTTTACTACTTTTTAAAAATAATTTATTAGCACAAAATTTTTTGAGTTAGAATTTTTTATGCAATATTTTAAAAGCAGCAAGAAAGTTGTACCAAAAGAAGCCTCAAACTCTCAAAGAAACAGACAAATTTATCGTTAAAGATCATTAGCACATCAAAGTATTAATAATTTTCAATAGAAAGTGGTGAAGCAACCACAATCATAGCAATTGGACATCCCAAACAATGGGGATGCCATAAAAATGATAATATGATATATTCAAAGATAATGAAAGTTAGGCAAAATATGATGACTAATGACAACACCAACCAAAGCAACCAAATCAAAGGAGGACAAGCACCAAACTAAACTAAAGAAAACACATTCTTAATGTGTAAATGTTGGAAAGCTTTTAATAATATATTGCCACAAGCATTAAAGAGACTCTTTTGAATAGAAAAACATAATCATCATAAAATTAGAATAATTAAAAAATTATATAAAAACACCACCCTAACATGTCAAGAGCATCTAAACAATGTAAAAAACCCCTAAAATAA